TCATTATCATAAGTTTATATCAAAGGTTGATAATATCTTCACTAATCACTATCACAAGTTAATATCAAAGGTTGATAATATCTTCATTAATCACTATCATAAGATTATATCAAGGGTTGATAATATCTTCATTAATCACTATCATAAGTTTATATCAAAGATTGATAATATCTTCATTGATTACTATTATAAGTTCATGTCAAAAAGTTGTTGCAATTCCTATTGCTATAATTTCAACACTTTTCATCGATCACTAATTATCATTAGTACCTATCCCTCTTTTAAATAATTACTTCTCATTAATCATTATTCATTAATTTATTAATGATTATAGTGTTAGGATTAAATTCTTTTTTTAACTTATTGAAATAATTTATTAAATTATATTAGATTTTGCTTCCATTTTTAATAATAATTGTAATGAGGAATTTTTTACAACATTTTTTCTTTCAATTTTTACAATAATTATTTTATAGCTATAATAATAACTATCATGATAATTTAAATGAATTATATTGATTTTCATGGATAATTGCTGATGTAATTAATTAGTTAATTATGTTAATGCATGATCGTTTTTTTTAAGTATTTAATTAATTATGTTCCAGGATATGTTTGATTGTTTTTTTTTTTTAAAAAACATTAATTCGTGTTTCAATGTTAAAAACAAGTTTGTTTATAAGTTGTTTCCTGTAAAAAATATATTTTCAAACATATCCCGGAAGTTTTTTTTTTTTTTTTTTTCAGAAAATAGTTAATAGTGTTAGTAAGAATTAAGGTTTAAAAAAAAAATGTAATTTATATTAATTAATTATTCATGAAAATCGATATTAAATTATCAAGATAACCATCATAATTAGCATTGTAATTGTGGAATAAAAGTTAGAAAAATGAAAATGATATACGAAATGTTATATAATTTAATAAATTATTTTAATAATTTATGAAACACTTATTTTTGCTTATTAAATTTGTGCTTTAATTGAGTTTAGAATTCCATTAAGTTGAATTAAACTATTACATGTAGTTGAATTAATGTAGTTGAATTAATTAATTACTTGAATTAAATAAAATTAATGAAATTTTAAATTAATTAAATTAAATGAAATGAAATAAATGGACAGAAGTAAAATAACTTTACGCTTCCTTTTTTTCTTTTCGATATGATAAATATCACAAGAATAATTTTACACTAAATTAATTATCAATTAGTAAAATGTAAATGTTAGAATTTAAATTTTCCTCACCCATACTTTCATATTGTCAACTATTTTTAAGATATTTCAAATCATATCGTCAACTATTTTTAAGTTATTTCAAATCATATCGTCAACTATTTTTAAGATATTTCAAATCATATTGTCAACTATTTTTAAGATATTTCAAATCATATTGTCAACTATTTTTAAGATATTTCAAATCATATTGTCAACTATTTTTAAGATATTTCAAACTAATTTATTAATTTAATTTCAGTTTTTTTTCTCAAATTTATCAAACAATTAGTTAATAAATCAGTCAATTAAAAATTATTTACATTCACTTTTTTATTTTCGCTCCAGAACACAATAAGAAAAAGAATGCAAAAAATGGGAAGAAATTATTATTGAATGAAAATAAAATCATTAGCAAATATTAAAACATAAATGATATTATTTAATGTTTCTAATTGAATTGATAATTAATTAATCAATTAAACTGTATACATACATAGATGTATATATAAATATAGATATTATTTTCATTTCAGATTGTACGAAGAAAAATAAAAGAAATAGAAATGGAATTGTATGAAAATAAATCATCAAAACATAATGATAGCATTACATATTGCTTAGATAGTATTTTCACTAATGATCAGGTGGATTATCGTTTATACGGTAATTTACCCATTTCAACATTTGGTATTCTTATTAATCTAATTAATATAATTATCTTTTCGCATGCTGATATGCGACGAAGTTTGGTAAATTTATTTCTGCTTGCTATTAGCATTTCTGATTTATTATTGCTTATTTTCAATTTTTTCTTCCTTCTATTCCCATTAATTGCATTATTTTCCAATTCTTTCATATTATACGATACTTATCCTTTGATACTCAGGTTTGTTTCTATTATTTGTCACCATTTTGTCACATTTTTTCTCAATAAAATTCAAAATTTGATTTTTTTTAATTTTACAAATTTTTTTTTTTAATAAATGATTTATTCATTACAGTTTTCGTTGTAGCTATTAAATGTTGTTAAAAAAAAAAAATACAAAAATCTTTAAGGTTAATTACTATTGTTATCAGTGTTATTTTATTATTATTATTATTATTATTATTATTATTATTATTATTATTATTATTATTATTATTATTATCTATTATTATTATTATTATTATTATTATTACTATTATTACTATTATTATTATTATTATTATTATTATTATTATTATTATTATTATTATTATTATTATTATTATTATTATTATTATTATTATTATTATTATTATTATT